ACTGGGAGGCCAGGGCAGGTGGATCACCTGAGGTCAGGAGTTAGAGACCAGCCTGGCCAACATGATGAAACCCCGTCTCTACCAAAAATACAAAAATTAGCCGGGCATGGTGGTGGGTGCCTGTAATCCCAGCTACTCGGGCAGCTGAGGTAGAAAAATTGCTTGAACCCAGGGGGCAGAGGTTGCAGTGAGCCAATATCACACCACTGCAGTCCAGCCTGGGTAACAGAGCAAGACTCTGTCTCGAAAAAAGGAAGTCCCCTTTACAGAGCAGACGCCTTCAGATGAAAGGAGGTGAGGCACGCCTCTAAGTAACATAGTGACCAGCAGGAAGAAGGACTGCCCTGGGAGTAGAGAGGGTGGCATGGAGTCCTCAGTGCTTCTCTGGCTGCAGCCAAGGATGACCCAGCATCCTGACCACAAACTAGAGTCTGGGCCTTGGGCTCGAGGGCTCAAAAACTGTTGCATGAGAAGCACGTGCCACCTCCAGCACCCTGCCTGGCGATACTGTCCGCAGATCAGTTCACAAGGATCTGGGTGACGGGCACATGGGGACTGCTCAGACTGTAGCCACTAAGGACATCTAAGCCACACCCTGGCTCCAAGGGGAGACCCACAAAGCAACTTTCTGTTGAGAGTTCAACTTTTGACATTTGTGTGTTTCCTCATCTGGACACACCCTGCCTGGTTCCACAGATGATCTGAGGTGATGTGGCTCTCACGTGACCTGCCTACAGTTAACAGTCACAGATGTCATGGAGGTAATTAAGTGATTTCCCTGTCAGTCTGCTGGGCACGTATTTAGTGTGGCTCAGTCTCCCTGAATCCAGCCACCTCTAAGGACACTCACTGGTACCCCACTGACTGGCCTGCCTCGCTGCTGCCAGTCCACACCCACAGCTGACACCCCAAAGATACTCCAGACGATCGCTCTCTGTCCAACCACGAGCACAAGGGGCTTCTTGGTGTCATTTCCACTCCCCTTGCCAATATTTATTTGGAAACATTTCAAACTACAGGAAAGTTATGAGAATTACATCAGGAACACCCACATCCCTTGTGCCAAGATCTTTGCTTTATGTCTTTGAAAGTAAGTTGTCGAGATCACAGCACTCCATCCCTCCACACCAAAGCCTGTAGCTTCTCAGGAAAGGGCAGTGCTGTGTGATCAGTGCGTATCATCACACGTAGGATGCCCAACACTGGCACCATCTCAGAGTCTGTTTCAATGCTGGGGGTCGTCGGTTTTCAGCAGGTTCTTCCCACAGTTCAATGCGTCTTCCCGCCAGAGGGACAGAATCTTGGGTGAGTGTTGAAATGCGTCAGAAACAAAAACGCAAAGTGGAACTGGAGCACGTCACAGACCTTGGACCAGAAGTGGCCTGTGAGGCGCTGGAAGAGATGCCACCGTGCGAGCTGATGGTCACACAGCTTGAGGACCACAAAGCCCAGGCAAGAGAGCACCCCCAAAGCTAAGTAGGTGGCCGAGGTGGTGCTGCCATAGTGCCTGTGGGTGCGCAGCGCCTGCCCCACAGCGGCCACCACGTGAGCACCCAGTGCGACCTCGAAGCCCCGGGGATGCAGCAGAGCGAGGCCGTAACTGGCCAGGGAGATGCACTCAAGGGAGAGGAACAGCCAGGGCCGCCAGCCGTGGTCTAGGTAGAGGCACCATGCGACAGGCCACGCAAAGATGGGCAGGGTGAGCCACTGGTCCAGCACGGCGGTGCGGCGCCACTGCGTCCACAGGCGCAGCCACTGCACGGGGCCGTAGAGCAGGGCCATGGCTGCGAACACATCCTTCAGGTAGCGGGGACCCGGCCCCACCGCACCGCCCCTGTGCAGCCAGAATAGCCCTAGTAGCGTGTAGGCCACATTCACCAGTGAGTTGAACGGCATGGCCAGGAAGGCAGGGAGACCAGCCACCGGCGCCTCGGCGTAGTCCTCATAGCCCACTTGCACGGAGACGCTGTCAAAAATGCCTGTGAACACGGCCACAGCACAGAGGCCGCCGGCCACGGCCACGTGCATGAAGGCCTGCCCCCACTCTGGATTCATGTGGAACTGGTGGCCTGACCTGGGGCAGGAGCTTCAGAGAGCAGCCTTCACTACGCAGCCTCTGCAGAACACGCTGGGCCTCCAAGCTGAGCCAGCAGGAAGCAGCCCCGTGATTTCCGAGGCAGATGCTGCGACCTTGCCCCGAAGGAAGGCAGGAGTCCTGCTGATTGGCTGGCGCCAGCGGAGGAACGTTCTGCCTTTTTCCTTTGTGGTTACAAAAGGAGTGTGGTTAGAAAAGAAACCGTCCCCAGCACCGCCTCCATGTTCCTGACTCCCGGCCTCAGGAGCTACCAACCATATTCACGGGAAGAAGCAAATCAGAGTGAAACCACTGCACACTGGCTCTCTCACGCGTGGTCTCTACAATCCTCTATCGCCCCTTTCTCCTGGCACCTAAGAAAATCCTGCCCCTCGTCCTAGTTTCCTTAAAGCCACTGCATCTACAGACAAGACCTGCCTAGCTCTGTCATTACAACTCAGAACGTGCCTTCCCATGCCGGTGTGTTATAAAAGTGGATGTCTCCAGCCCCGAAGCCCTTTTCACCAAATACCCAGTTGAACCAGAGACCATTAGATGGAGCCCGAGCTCTGGCCTCTGACACGAGGTGGGGGAGGGAGGAGGAGAAGAATTCACCGTCTGCCACTCAAGCACCAGGCCGGGAGGCAAGGGGGTGACCTGTAGGCCTCCCAGGCCAGCTTCCCTGGCTCACTCACCTGCCCTCTCCTGAAGTGCCAAGCCCCAAATCACCTGCTTTTCTCAGGCCACCATAAAGCCTTCCGTCTCCTTCAGTCACAGAACCAGAGAGACAATTTAATTATCACTGACTGTCAACTGCTTTGGGGCCAGTGGTGCTGTGAGTGACCCTAGTAGCTGAGAAACACATTAATATGGAAGGGAGAACAGCTTTAATGCTCTGAAAATGACTCCAATCATTAAAGCTCTTCTCCCTTCCATATTAATAAATTTGGCACTCAAGAGGGTGGGCAGGCAGGCGGGTTCAGGGAGAAAGAAGGGTGGGCTCCAGTTCCTGGTCAGCTGATGCCAGACTGTTCAAACCCTGGCTCTCCCACCGACTAACCATGTGATCTTGTACCTTAACTGTCTTGGGCCTCGGTTTGCGCACCTTTTTTTTTTGTTTTTTTTTTTTGAGACGGAGTCTCATTCTGTTGCCCAGGCTAGAGTGCAGTGGCACAATCTTGGCTCCCTGCAACCTTCACCTCCCAGGTTCAGGTGATTCTCCTGCCTCAGCCTCCCAAGTAGCTGGGATTACAGGCACCTGCCACCACGCCTGGCTAATTTTTTTGTATTTTCAGTAGAGACGGTTTCACTATGTTGGCCAGACTTGTCTCGAACTTCTGACCTCAGGTGATCCACCCACCTCAGCTTCCCAAAGTGCTGGGATTATATGCATGAGCCACCATGTCTGGCCACCCATTACCTCTTGAACTTCATCTTCAGTTTCTTCCTGTTTCCTTCACTTCAGCCATGCTGGCCTCTTGTTCTTTGACCCTGACTAGTACGCTGTGGCCTCAGGGTTTTTGCACCTTCTGTTCCCACGGCCTAGAACACTTGGCCACGAGTCACTCCCACACCTCCTTCAAGTTGTAGCTAGAATGTCACCTCAGTGAGGCCTGTATTGACCTTTATCTCTTTGCAATTCTAACCTACCTCAAGCACTCTGTCCTGTTCTGTGTTTTCCTGTAGTGCTTGATACTGCTCACATAATACTGAATTTTCTTATCTGTTTTTCCCTTAGAATGGGGCAGGGGTTTTCTCTGTTTTATTCCCTGCTGTATTCCCAGTTCCTGGCACAGAACAGGTGACTGATAAATACTTATGGACTGAGTGGACATTTTAGGACAATCCTCATCAGCTGTGTGGCAGATGGACCACAGAAGGCAAGGGCAGAAATGTGGAGAGAAATCAGAAGGTCGCTGGGACCAGCCTGGGCAACATAGGGAGATCCCCCTGTTCTACAAAGAAACAAAAAAAATCAGCCAGAGTGGCACATGCCTGTAGTCCCGGCTACTCAGAGGCTGAGGTAGAATGATTGCATGAGCCCTGGAGGCTGAGGCTGCAGTGAGCCATGATCGTGCCACTGCACTCCAGCCTGGGCAACAGAGTTAAGACCCTATATCCGGAAACAAAACAAACAAAAAAAGGTTGCTCAGCTGGTCTAGAAGACACCTAATGAGGGCTTGAGTTGGTCAGAGGGGAGGCTGGATGCTGGGCACATTTTGGAAGCAAGCGACAGCATCAGCAGATGGGGGCAAGTCCACTCGTGTCACAAAAGCAGACTCCTCGGAAGGAATGGTGGGTTGTTTTCTTCTCCCCTCGTCTCTTTCAGGGTCTGATTTGTCTCTTCCTTAAAAAAGTGTGTGTCCTGTGGGTCTTTCTTTCCACGCTGAATCTTCTCAGGCTTTTCTGGAAGTAAGCAGTCCAACTAAGTATTGGGGGCATCCTCTCTTCTGTCCTGGTACAGATTGCCTTTTTCTTGGAGAAAGAAAACGAGCCCCCTGGCAGGGAGCTTACTAAAGAGGACCTTTTCAAGACACACAGCATCCCTGCCACCCCCACCACCACTCCTGTGCCCAACACTGATGCCGAGTCCAGCTCCACGGAAGGAGAGCTGGACGCCAGAGACTTGGAAATGTCTAAGAAAGTCAGGCGTTCCTACAGCCGGCTGGAGACCCTGGGCTCTGCCTCCACCTCCACCCCAGGCCGCCGGTCCTGCTTTGGCTTCGAGGGGCTGCTAGGGGCAGAAGACTTGTCCGGCGTCTCACCAGTGGTGTGCTCCAAACTCACTGAGGTCCCCAGAGTCTGTGCAAAGCCCTGGGCTCCAGACATGACTCTCCCTGGAATCTCCCCACCACCCGAGAAACAGAAACGTAAGAAGAAGAAGATGCCAGAGATCTTGGTGAGTGAGAGGCAGGGGTTTTTCTCTGCCATGTGCTCTGGCAGACGTGCACAGCTGGGGCTCTGGCTCTTTTGGGGGATAGGCAGCACCTGCAGGGTGTGGGTGAGATGCTCCAGCTACCATGTTCCCTTCTCACTCACCTGCTCCCCATTTCTCTTCCCTCAGAAAACGGAGCTGGATGAGTGGGCGGCGGCCATGAACGCGGAGTTTGCAGCTGCTGAGCAGTTTGATCTCCTGGTTGAATGAGATGCAGTGGGGGGTGCACCTGGCCAGACTCTCCCTCCTGTCCTGTACATGGCCCCCTCCCTGTGGAGGGGACACTTAGGGTCCCCTCCCCTGGTCTTGTTACCTGTGTGTGTGCTGGTGCTGCGCATGAAGCCTGTCTGCCTTTGAGGGCTTGGGCAGCAGTGGCAGCCATCTTGGTTTTAGGAAATGGGGCCGCCTGGCCCAGCCACTCACTGGTGTCCTGTCTCTTGTCGTCCTGTCCTTCCTATCTCTCCAAAGTACCACAGCCAGTTTCCAGATGGGCCATAGACTGTGGAGGAGAATCACTGGCCCAGCCAGAAGTTAAAGGGCTGAGGGTTGAGGTGAGGGGCACCTTCTGCTCTTGCTGGGAAGGGTGGCTCCTTGGAAATAGGCCCAGGGGTTCTGCCAGCCTCGGCCTTTCCATCCTGAGTTGCCTTCTGTTGGTGGCTTTCTTCCTGAACCCATCTGCGTAAAGAAGTTTTCGGTTCCGTGGGTTTTCCTTCCAATTCTGTAAATAGTCCCAGAGAGAATTTGTGGGCTGAGGGCAATTCTATCTTGGAGGAAGAAGCTGGACATTCAGCCTGTGAAGTCTGAGTTTTGAAGGATGTGGGGAGCCTCAGTTGGGTCTCAGACCATAAGTGTGTACTACACAGAAGCTGTGTTTTCCAGTTCTGGTCTGCTGTTGAGATGTTTGGTAAATGCCAGGTTGATAGAGCACTGGCTGCTTGGAGCAAAGGGGCCACCAGGTGCTGTGGGTTTCTGTGGCTCACGGCCTCTGGGCTGGTGCCTTGCGCAGGGCCCACGCTGGAGTCTTACCACTCTGCTGCAGGGGTGGAAGGTGGCCCCTCTTGTCACCCACACCCATTTCTTACAAAATAAGTTACACAGAGTCTACTTGGCCCTAGAAGAAAAAGTTGAAGAGTGCCAGTCTTACTAGCATTTTGTGACTATGCCTGTAAAGTCCTCGGAAACTCCTTGTGTACCAGACAGCGGCAGGGGCTGAGAGCAATTTTAGTTTTTGGCCTCCCTATCCTCTCACATGAGAACACTGCCTGGATGCATCTCATGATCTCTGGAGAATTTCCCCATCTTTCTCTTCTTTGAATACTGAGGATTCAATAGTGTGGATTTGAAGGCTGCCCTGCCCCGACTCTCCCACCGCACCCCAGTCCGTTGTACCTTTTGATGTTTATAAGTTCATGGAAGTAGACGCTGAGGTGTGCAGAGGAGCTGGTGGATAACAGAGAATGCCAGTGAAGATGAGTGCTGGGTCAGGGTACTTGGAAGAAATGTTGCAGGCCAGGCAGGCCCTAATAAAACCCTCTGCCAGGCCTGGGAGTCCCAGGCCATCTGCTCAACGCTCTGTGCTTTGTCAGACTTGCAAGCAAGCCCCCTTGCGGGGGAGGCCTAGGTGTCCTTGAGCTGAACCGCACTGAAGAACTCTTGTCCTCACTGGCTGATGTGGCAGAACTCTTGGGAAATGTCTTAGTCCTGCAGAATCAGGGGTCACCAGATGATGCGGAGTTGAGATCATCACTGCAAACTTCTCTGTTCCTGAGGAACTAAATTTAAGGAAAAAAATGGGATTTTGTTTTATAGTTGGAAAAAAATCCTGATTAAAGATTTTCTGCCTGTCCATGGACTGTTTCTTTTATTGAGTCAAAGGCAGAGCCGAGGGTAAGGCCAGGCCTCCTGTGGGCTGCATCACTGGAGTTGTCCCTTTGTCCGGGCGCTCCCAGCCCCGCTCACCCCCATTCGCCCCATGGTAGATTACTGTCCTGCCCCACTTTTTTTTTTTTTCTTGAGGCGGAGTCTCACTGTGTCACCTAGGTTGGAGTCCAGTGGCGTGCTCTCAGCTCACTGCAACCTCCACCTCCCAGGTTCAAGCGTTTCTCCTGCCTCAGCCTCCCCAGTAGCTGGGGTTACAGGCGCCCACCACCAAGCCCAGCTAATTTTAATATTTTTATTAGAGATGGGGTTTCACCATGTTGGCCAGGCTGGTCTCGAACTCTGACCTCAAGTGATCTGCCCTCCTTGGCCTCCCAAAGTGCTGGGATTATAGGCGTGAGCCACCGCGCCCGGCCTGTCCTGCCCTTTGTCTTGTTTATTTCTGTCCAGTCCCTAATCCGCTCCTCTTCCAGGAGGAAGAAAGTTGGGTCTGGGGTGAGGGTGCTGAGAGCTCCCCCAGTGCCCACAGGAGATGCCTGGGAAGTAAACATCCTCCCAAGTCCAGCCCTTGTTCCCCATTCCCTTTCAGCCTCCTTTGAAGGAGCCTGAGTTGCTCACTCCATGGTCCAGACTGGACGCTGTGTAGCAGCTGGTGCTGTGGGACCCCTGGGGAGCTGCTCAAAGACGCTGATGCCTGGAAATTCTCCCACTTGGCCTTAGGTAAGGCTAGGACCTTACATGTAGGTGGCACAGACCAGCCTCCCATCCCATCCTCCATACTCGTACTTGCCTCCTAGTCATCCAAACAAATCAAGGCCATTAAGTTTTCCGCAGACTTAATTCACTTTGACCTCCTTTTCTGACCCAGAGGACACGGGTCACTTCTTCAAGGCTAACCTTTCCACTTTGGCTTTTGATCCAATTATCTTGTCTCTGAAACCTTCCTCTTTCTGCCAAGTCCTAAATGGCTTTTATTTGCTTTGTTGTTAAAAAATGACAACCAGGCTGGGCACAGTGGCTCACACCTGTAATCCTAGCACTTTAGGAAGCCGAGGCAGGAGGATCACTTGAGCTCAGGAGTTCAAAACCAGTCTGGGCAACATAGGGAGACCCTGGCCGGGCGCGGTGGCTCAAGCCTGTAATCCCAGCACTTTGGGAGGCCGAGGCGGGTGGATCACGAGGTCAGGATGTCTGAGACCCATCCTGGCTAACATGGTGAAACCCCGTCTCTACTAAAAATACAAAAAAACTAGCGGGCGGGTGGCGGCGGCCTGTAGTCCCAGCTACTCGGAGAGGCTGAGGCAGGAGGAATGGCGTGAACCTGGAGGGCGGAGCTTGCAGTGAGCGAGATTGCGCCACTGCACTCCAGCCTGGGTGACACAGCGCGAGACTCCGTCTCAAAAAAAAAAAAAAAAAAAAAACGGCCGGCGCGTGGCTCAAAGCCTGTAATCCCCACTTTGGGAGGCCCGAGACGGGTGGGACTCACCGAGGGTCAGGAGATCAAGACCACTCCTGGCGAACCACGGGTGAAACCCCGTCTCTACTAAAAAAATACAAAAAACTAGCCGGGCGGAGATGGCGGGGCCTGTAGTCCCAGCTACTCGGAGGCTGAGGCAGGAGAATGGGCGTGTGAACCCGGGAGGCGGAGCTTGCAGTGAGCCTGAGATCTGGCCACTGCACCTCCAGCCTGGGCGGCAGAGCGAGACTCCGTCTCAAAAAAAAAAAAAAAAAAAAACATAGGGAGACCCTGACTCTACAAAAATGTAAAAAAAAAAATGGGTGTGGTGGCGCATATCTGTAGGTCCTAGCCACTCAGGAGGTGAGGTGGGAGGATCACCTGAGCCTGGGAGGTCGGGCGTACAGTGAGCCATGATGACGCATTGCACTCCAGTCTGGGCGACAGAGGTATAGACCCTGTCTCAAAAGACAAAAAACAACCAAAAGTTGACCAGCATCTGTCGTTAGTACCACCATTACTCCCTCCTTTTAAGCTTGAAGGAACGTTCCAAGTTGCTGTTTACTTTCTTTGAATTTATTCCCAATGCCCTCATCACCTCTTTACAGCTCAAACGTAACCAGTGATGTCTCTAATGTCCAGTATTCCAAGCTCGAGGACTCTGCCAGCACACCCTCTTTGGGGCATGGCACTGCCAGCTCCATTTTCTTGGCTTTTCCTGAAATGTCTGCATACCAGGCCTCAGTCCTGGACCTCTTCCCACCTGCCTGCTCTTGCCAGGTAGCCTTAGTTCTCTGAAACTGCCTCCTTGCTCAAGACTTGGCCATCTTTATCTCCAACCTAAAACTGTCCTGAGCTACAAATCAGAATCTAGAACTGCCTTCGCTTTCAGGAAGTCATCTGAAGCTCTGCTCATCCAGCAGCTTGCTTACTCCTGTGTTCTCTGTGCATTAGCAGAGCACCAGCTGACACAGTCACGCAGGCCAGGACCCACCAGCTCCTTCCTTCACCCATCTGGCCAGCCCTCCATCCCACTCAACATCCCCCCACTCCACAGTCACCAGACATTGCACTAACCTCCTGTGGGTGCTTCCCTTTGGCTGCTGTGTCTTCCACACTGTCTGCCACTGCGACTAGAACATATTTCCTAAAACACAATATGATCCTGTCTCTTCCCTCCTTAATTTTTTAATTTTGAGATGGAGTTTCACTTTTGTTGCCAGGCTATGGGTGTTGGCACAATTGGCTAACTGCAACCTCCACCTCCTGGGTTAAGCAATTCTCCTGCCTCAGCCTCCCGAGTAGTTAGATTACAGGTGCCCGCCACCATGCCTGGCTAATTTTTCTATTTTTTAGTAAGAGTGATTTCATTATGGTTGGCCAGGCTAGTCTCGAACTCCTGACCTCAGGTGATCGCCCAAACTCGGCCTCCCAAAATGCTGGGGTTATAGGTGTGAATCACCATGGGCTGGGTGCTGGTGGGCCTATTTTCTCCTCTCCTTAAAACCCTTTCTTTTTTTTTTTTTTTTTTTTTTGGGGGGGACTGAGTTTCACTCTTGTCCCAGGGCTGGAGTGCAATGGCACAATCTCGGCACACCACAGCCTCCGCCTCCCGAGTTCAAGCGATTCTCCTGCCTCAGCCCCTGAGTAGCTGGGATACAGGCATGTGCCACACACTCAGCTAATTTGTATTTTTATGAGACTGGGTTTCTCCATGTTGGTCAGGTGATCCACACATCCCGGCCTCCCAAGTGCTGGGATTACAGGTGTGAGCCACCATGCCCAGCCAAAACCCCTGCCTTTGTTTGTTTGTTTGTTTGTTTGTTTGTTTTTGAGACAGGGTCTGGCTCTGTCGCCCAGGCTGGACTGCAGTATTGTGATCTGGGCTCACTGCAACCTCCACCTCCCAGACTCAAGCCATCCTCCCACCTCAGCCGCCCGAGTAGCTGAGACTACAGGCATGTGCCACCATGCCTGACCTTTAAAACCTTTTAATACAATTTCACATCTGAGTGTAATAAGACCAGAGAAAGTTGAAAGCAGGGATTGGAATAGATTTGTACACCCATGTTCCTAGCAGCATTATTCAACGATAACCAAACAGCTGGAAACACAAATGTCTACCAGCACCTGAATGGATAAAGTGTGACCTGTCGATACAGTGGAATATTATTCAGCCTTAAAAAGAAGGAAATTGGGCCAGGCGCAGTGGCTCACACCTGTAATCCCAGCATTTTGGGAGGCCAAGACTGGCGGATCACTTGAGGTCAGGAGTTCAAGACCAGCTTGGCCAACATGGTAAAACTCCGTCTCTACTAACAATAGAAAAATTAGCTGGCCCTGGTGGCGGGTGCCTGTAATCCCAGCTACTTGGGTGGCTGAGGCAGGAGAATGGCTTGAACCCAGGAGGTGGAAGTTGTGATGAGCCAACATTGTGCCACTGCTCTCCAGCCAAAACAGAAAGCTCTGCTGACTTCCCATGCTCCGTGCTGCGGTAGAATGGATGGTCGCTGGTGGATCCCTGCAACCAGGACCTAAGCTGATCAGATTCCCCACCTTGAGCAATGGGTGTGAGGAGGGATGAAGGCACCGCCTGTCCAGCAGTGTCTGGTGGGGGGAATGTGTGTTTGCTCGTCTGCAGGCCCTCCCCTGTCCTGGTTCTGGCAGTCGGCGCCCTACAGTGCTTGCCCTTTGAAGTCTCTTCTTTCCATGAGTTCTGTGACTCCCCAGCATCCTCCCAATAAACTCCTTTTTGCTCAAATCAGCCAGCATTGTTTCCTGTTTGCACCCCAGAACCCTGGCTGGTCTAGGGGGCTCCTGACACCTTAGCGGGGCTCATGAGGACTCCAGGCCAAGGCTGGTGTCCAGGCTTCAGCCCATAGACCCAACGCAGGCTGCGAGTTGCTCGGAGGTCCCTGCCTCTGAACCTTTGCTCTCTGCCTCTTGTGTCTTTTCCCACTCCTGCGTCACCTGGGTAGCCCGGCGTCATTAAGTCTGGCTCACACGCCACACCTTCTCAGCCTTTCCTCCCCACCTGCCCCACCCGGTGAAAGCAAAGAGCACAGGTTCTGCAATCCAACCTGGTTTGAATCCTGGCTCTGCCAGCTTCTAGCTGTATGACCCCAGGCAAATGATAATAATTAGACTCTGCTGTGCCTCAGTTTACTTATCTGTAAAATGAGGACAAAAATAATACCTGTGCCAGTGTTTAAAAATGAGATGGCCGGCTGGGTGCGGTGGCTCACACCTGTAATCCCAGCACTTTGGAAAGCTGAGATGGGTGGATTGCTTGAGGTCAGGAGTTCAAGACCAGCCTGGCCAAGATTATGAAACCCTGTCTCTACTAGAAATACAAAAGTTAGCTGGGCGTGGTAGTGGGCACCTGTAATCCCAGCTACTCGGGAGGCTGAGGCAGAAGAATTACTTGAACCCCACGAGCTGGAGGTTGCAGTAAGCCGAGATTGTGCCACTGCACCCCAGCCTGGGTGAAAGAGCGAGACTCCATCTCAAAA